GGCTGAGTCATTTCTACCTTCTCCTCTCTGTCAACGCTCTCTGGTTTCATTTAAAAATGTCGATCATCAGATACGTATTGTCCAAGATCAGGGTGGATATAGCTCGCTCACACCGAGGACCTATCCACGTCATCATTTACCCAGAATGCTTTGTGTGTAAATAAAATGGCTCCGTCCGTGTTAAAATATATTTTTAAAAATTTACAAAACTAAACAGCCTRCAGCATTTTTACAGYCTTTATTTTACAGTTAAAATAKATGTTTATCAAATAAAATCTAATGTTACAACTAACCAGGGATCCCTTTAAAAATCAGTTTTCGTCCTCAGCACATGCTCCAGGATCGACACATCGCTCAGTATTTTTGCTTCAAACTTTGGCATCTCCTGCAAAATCAACACTTTSACGTGAAGTTGGACGTTTTTACTCTGCGACCCTGTTGTTTTCTTCCTGACTTTATCCCTCGAGGTCAGTGAGTCACTCTGAGCTCCCCTCACTTAAGTCAGAATATGGGAAGGCATGAGCAATCCCCCCAACCCCGCCCCCTTTAACACACACACACATCTGGGAGTCCCTATCTTCCTCTTTGTTTTTTGTTTTTTTGTCTCCAGTCCCACCTGCCTGAGTGTGTTTACGAGCAACAGGCGTCTGATCCAGACACAAACCGGCTCGGTCACAGTTCCCAGGGRCAGCTGGACCGATCCAAGCCCCGCCGCCGTCCGACAAAAACGCAACACAACACCAAGAAAAGGAAAATCCGGAGTCGAGGCTTAATTCTTTTTTTTTTTTTTCCCTTCTTCTGTTTCTTGAAATTTCTCCCCTGTATAATTTGGCCCGTCCAGATTTATGGCTTCGAAAAGCTCCGGTGGCGTTTTTCAGTTGGGTGGGGCGAAGAAAAAGGGGATAATAATCATGTGGAGTTGAATTCAGACGAGAAATGCTTTCATTCCCCGGAGGGAGAGGTTAGGGCAGCTGTTCTCCAGATGTCAGACCGTCTAATTCTGTAAAACTTTAGGGTCTAATGGTGCGGTATGTATGTGTGTATTTTGCAGAGGGGTGGGGCGTAACGGTGATTCTGCTTATTTGAGGGMCGATTTTGAAGTTACATCTTGTTGAAGGAAATTTTGAGTTTTTCCCTCCAAGTGGCTCAGTCTTCTTTATTGGGGGTTAGCATTAGCTGTAGTTAATTTTAGGGTGAGCCAGCGCCATATGTCCTAAAGTAAGCTCTGCTAATGTGCAATAAACATGCATACATCTGTACTGCATGACTTTCACAACTCAAAACAAGTGTCACAACCACCGCAGCTTAATGAAAACCAGCCGGGAACAGATTAAACGCACAGACTCAGGACAGATTTTGGGAAGCAGATAAATTTATCCTGAAGTGCGTCCTGAACACCGGCTGCATCTGTGTTCCTGTTGTATTTCACTGTTTAGCTCACAGGATTTTATTACAGCTCTGCTTGACGCTGCCTTTTATGCCAGAGTTTTAAACWGAAATCATCTCAAGCTGAGAGAAGACAGAGCTAAAGGCGTTTTATGCAAACTTTAAAAGTTATCGTAACCCTTTTTTAATGTCATTTGCAGAACGGGTGTCAAACTCGTGCATGAGCATTATGCTGGTCCTCAAAGGGCTAGYTATCATTAACTTTGATGTTTCAAACTGAGCACAGCTAACAAACATTTCTTGCATGAAAACAGTGTTTTAACACATCTTATAATAACTGAGAAGTACTACATGTAAAAGTGACTAAATGTGAAATAAATAATACAAAAATATTAAAAGTAAAAGAGTTTTACTCACTGATGAGTTATTGTGAGTAGCTGCCATCTTGAATTTTGAACTCTCCCACTTTTCCAATAGGAAGTTCCCACTGGATGGGGTTATCTGGTTTAAATTTACAGCTTGTAAGTGGGAAATCTCCAACTTCCTGTAAAACTGGGCTTCAGCAAAATGAAAATTTTACAAAGAGATTTTTTTGCCAGCAAATTTACGAACCTGTGCATCTCCACCGAGCGGTGGGATGTCGTCACTTTGCTGTTAATTAATCAACATGCGTTATGAGAGATGTCGTCGATGCTTAGGCCACATAAAATGCTGCAGTGGGCCGCATTTGGCCCATGGACCTTGAGTTTGACATATGATGTAGAGGCACATCCAGTGATTACATTTTAAAAGTTTCATTAAAATCCATCTTCTGGTTCTTGAGGTATTTTTGCTGACAGGAAAGACACAGATTTCCTTTTTCCACTCAATTTTAAATTATTCAAGTTGTTAATTTATATTTTTACCGAAAATAACTCAATTAACCTGAGTGATAAAGCTTTGCTTTCCTTGGACAGATTTTATTTAAGAATGGTAGTAGAAAATTATTCGTCCTCAGTGTTGCTTTGTCAAAACTGCAGAAGGTATAAGTTAGAGCGGTTCGTCTCATTTTTGTGGCACACAGAACGAGGTGAATGAACTTCACCCCGGAAGGAAGTTAGCTCATTGTTGCTCGTCGTTGTTGATGAATTTTGCCGACGGCAGCGCCAGGTTTCCTGTGAAAGACAAAACTGAGGCTTGAGTGAGAAGATCCACCAGTTAAAGGCAGAACTGAACTCGTCCTGGCTGCAGATTCCCAGACAATTCCTTCAGTCATGCCTGACAAGTAGCTCAGCAAAAAAAAATATTAGACATGAAAAATATGCCAGCGTTGCAAAATAGAAAAACTACTTGTCAGCTGTTGCAGGATTCTGTCAGTTTGTTCCATGCCTCTACAGAAATCTTACCGATGTGCGATGACTGACTTCTCTGGTTTGCATTTTTCAATAGCTTTAAGTTTGGGATTATCTAGAGACACTTAAAATGAGTCAAAACATTAGAATATTGAATCCTGTGTGTTTCGTTTCAGCTTAAATCATGATAAATCTTACCAAATGAAACAACATTGCATGCCAAAGCTTTAAACTAAAATCTGTCGGTTCTCAGAGCATAATGATGGGATGATTCTCAGCTACTACCACACAAGGTTCTAGCTGAATATCTGTAAAACTGACTGAGTTAGCCATTTTTGTTTTTGATTAGCTGCAGAAGCCATCTTGAATTAGGTCGACTCAGCTGTAGATGTTCATTCAGGGACTCAGGGTCATTGGCCTCTACTGAAATCTGATTRGCCCCCTGGTGGATGCAGTTCCATGTTCAAACACTAGAGGTGGTCACGAGTCGAATAGGAAAGTCCAACATGAATYAAGCTTACAGAATAATTTAAACAATCCTGCAGAAAAAGTCCTTCACTGATAAATAATTGGATTTTCTCACATGCTGTGTTTCAGAGTATTTTATGTACAGCGGGTAAAATAAGTATTGAACACGTCACCATTTTTCTCAGTAAATATATTACTAGAGGTGCTAATGACATGAAATTTTCACCAGATGTCGGTAACAACCCAAGTGATCCATACATACAAAGAAATCAAACCATAAATGTCCAGAAATGAAGTTATTTGTAATAATGTGGAATGGCACAAGGAAAAAGTATTGAACACACTTACTGAAATTTATCTAATACTTTGTACAAAAGCCTTTGTTGTCAATGACAGCTTCAAGATGCCTCCTGTATGGAGAAACTAGTGGCATGCATTGCTCAGGTGTGATTTTGGCCCATTCTTCCACACAAACAGTCTTCAAATCTTGAAGGTTTCGTGGACCTCTTCTATGAACTCTGATCTTTAGTTCTTTCCATAGATTTTCTGTTGGATTCAGGTCAGGTTATCAGGTCCATATTCAGGTCCATTCATCCTTCCTTCAATTATTTGAAGTTTGCCAGTACCATATGCTGAAAAACAGCCCCACACCATGATGTTCCCACCTCCAAACTTCACTGTTGGTATGGTGTTTTTGGGCTGATGTGCAGTGCCATTTGACCTCCAAACATGATGTGTATTCTGGCATCCAAACAGTTCAATGTTGGTCTCATCTGACCAGACTATATTCTCCCAGTATTACACAGGCTTGTTTAAATGTTGTGCAGCAAACTTTAAAGGAGCTTCAACATGCTGTTTCTTCAGCAGTGGAGTCTTGCGTGGTGAGTGTGCATACAGGCCATGGTGGTTCAGTGCATTACTTATTGTTTTCTTTGAAACAAWCGTACCTGCTAATTCCAGGTCTTTCTGAAGCTCTCCACAAGTGGTCCTTGGCTCTTGGACAACTCTTCTGATAATTCTTTTCACTCCTCTGTCAGAAATCTTGTGAGGAGCACCTGGTCGTGGTCGGTTTATGGTGAAATAATGTTCTTTCCACTTCTGAATTATGGCCCCAACAGTGCTCACTGGAACCTTCAGAAGTTTAGACATTCTTCTGTAACCGATGCCATCATTATGCTTTGCAACAATAAGGTTGTGATGGTCTTGAGAGAGCTCTTTACTTTTACCCATCATCAGATGGTTCTTGTGTGATACCTGGCCATCATTTGGGACTGAACCAGCTGATATTAACTTACACTGACAAGGGGCAGGCTTGCTTTCTAATCACTGAGAGAGTTCAGCTGGTGTCTTGGCTTTCCATGCCTTTTTACACCTCCCTTTCTTCATGTGTTCAATACTTTTTCCCTGTGCCATTCCACATTATTACAAATAACTTCATTTCTGRACATTTATGGWTTGATTTCTTTGTATGTATGGATCACTTGGGTTGTTACCGACATCTGGTGAAAATTTCATGTCATTAGCACCTCTAGTAATATATTTACTGAGAAAAATGTTGACGTGTTTAATACTTATTTTACCCGCTGTATATACAGTAAAAATACATGTAAAATTGTTAAGGATAAATTACCGTGCAAGCATTTTTAATTGCATTAACATTAACAGCTCAGGTAAACAACCAAAAGCCTCTGGTTCCTGTCTGCAGGCTCCCTAACTTCTTGTTTAACATGCTGCATTGTAGAAGGAAATAAAACTGTTTGAATCATCCCACACTACAAACTGCATGTTGGGACTGTTTGTTTGTGTCCTAATGTCTCATCTTAAAACCTTGAACCCGAAGCTACAATTAAATCATTTGAGTGGGGGTTTTCCTTTTTGTGTTTGACGATGATTTCAGGRAATACACACAAAATAACTTCAATCCAACAGTACTTCCTGTTTCCAAAACCCACAAACACAAATGATGGAACCTTTTTTTCATTTTTAAGGATGATTTTTTTTTTTTTAGGGTATTTGCAGCATTGCAGTCTTGTCTCAGTGGGATTTCAGCTCTATGCATCATCTTTACCAAACAGGAATCTGATTTATTGTTTTTGGTTCGTGGAAATATTAACTCCCATACAGTTATATTTTTCTTGGACCCTGTTGAGTCACAGTTTGTTTCCTGCACAGCAGTGTTTTGAAACCTTACCCTGAGTAAACTCACTTGGATATCGTTTTGAAAGAAACATTTCATGCAAAGACGGATTTGTTATTATAAAAAAAAATCCATCTTTGTCTTTCCCCATGCGTCGCTGCAGAGGTGAAAGAGTACGAGCCTCCGTTTGGGAACCTGAGGGAACACCCGTGTGTGGAGAGCATGAAGGACAGTGTGGTCAGAGACCGAGGACGACCGGAGATCCCCAACAGCTGGACCAACCACACAGTAAGAAACCTGTTTGATTTAGAGCTAATTTGATCATCTTTTCTCTGCCTTCATCACCAGAACTCACTGCTGTTTATTTTTATATTCACATAAAAGAAACACAACAAATGCAACAATAATCCTTAACTATTGTTGCACAGATGATGCATTCTTCACATTTTATTTGAACTGAATATGCATGAAGCGCCTCGTTTGGATTTAAAGAGACAGCCTCAAAACGAGTTGATATGAGACACACCTCAGAAAAGGGATGAAAAATGGGGGCTTGTGGAGTTACAATGAGGAGGAATTTAAACTAAAAGCATTCCACTTTATATAGACCCCGAGTATTTAAATGTGAAAAACAAGGATCATTTGTCTCCCCTAACAMTAGCTGCATTTCCATTGACCATGAAAATGCGCAAATTAGAATTTCGAAAATAAATTTGCTCAATAGAAACAGAAATTTCGGGAAAAAAATACGTTTTTCGACAAAATGTTTTTGCGCTAGGGTGAGGTGGTTTTTCGGCCGTATCGAAATTGGTGTTTTTCGCAAACACTTTTTTCGCATCATGGGAGTCACGTGATCAACAACCGGCTGTTTCTACTGGCAAAAAGACGACGACGAAGAGAAGTAATAAAATAAAGTAGTAAACTCACAGACTACAATTTCCCAAAAACACAGCATACGTAGTCGCTCCCAAGTAGGGGCTTGTCTTTGGAAATTCTCGATAAAAGACGCCGACGTCTCCTCTGATGATGAGCGCTAGTGTCGTGGTAGCAACAAGCTATGTGTTTGCATCCATCACCGCCATGTTTGTAATGACTTATCGCGAGAACAAACGTATTCACGCGTGACTTTAATAGCATTTCTTACTTAATAGAAACACTGCAGTTGCGAAACTGTTTTTTCAACATTAATAGAATATCGATACAGATTTGCAATGGAAACGCAGCTACAGATGATCCTCATTAAAAACCTAAAGAAACTATTGATCCTTGAAAAAAAATGCTTGTYGCCCAAATTTCTAACTAACATTATCTTATGCTGGGAGATGATGGAGTTGTAATCTTGTGAAATTCTGCTCTCAGAGTAAGTGATGTGAACGACTCTCAGTTATTACCAAACCAAATTTTACTTCAACATCTGTAAAGTTGATTGAATTATTGCCATTTTTGTGTTCGGTAATGCTATTAGAATCTTGAATCAGACTGCAGATGCACATCCAGTAACTACCATATTTATTCAAGTATAATACATAAAATTTAATCCATAAAATCATGCATAAAGTTGGGGGTAGTATTATACTCAGATAAATATTTTTACTTGTGTATTTTAACTGAATATCGGCTTTATTCACAAAATGTCTCAGTCCTTAAATGAGAGCGCAACGTAAAAAGCAGCTGAAGCGAGCTTACCTCTGACACTCCTCTGTGCTTCAGAGCGAGATAATAATAGATCCAGGTGACATGATGTGAAAAAAAGAGGGAAAAGCAGTCCTGCACCTTAGTAATGATAACAAACTAAAGACATTAGCGTGTGACCGGGCCGCTCCTCAAACAACAACAAACACATGTTCATCTGTAATGGCTGCCGTCTACCGGTGTTCTGAAAAAGTTTGCATCCCTGAAAAAGTTTCCTCACCAGAGGGGGCGCTCACGAGTAGGACGTAATCTGCTTTTCCCCCACAAGATGGCCCAAATCTCATGTGAAGTCTCTGACTTTTGTGTTGGCGCCTCCTGGTGGACTATGTGTAAAATGTCCGAATTCATATGATGCTGCTACAGCTGATATATATTTGTTGTCAAAATACCTTTTAGTACATATGTTGTTAAAATAAAATGAACAGTCCAATGATCATTTTACTGATATGTGTAAAGACTGCAAAGGCTGAAAAATCTTGAAGTCTGTATGAAATTTGAGGTAGTCTGAGGATTAAATTTTTTATGCTTTTTAAGCTAAAAAAAGTGGGGGGGTCGTATTATACACGAGATCGTATTATACAGGAATAAATACGGTACTTTCTGATAGCTTAAATGAAATCCATTCAGAGGTTTCTGATATATTTTGCTTACAGAGAGACAGATTAACAAAAAAAAAAAATCAAAAGATCAGATTAGTGATTATCTTCCTCCAATAGCTGACCTTTGTGACTGACCCCCCCCCCCCCCCCCCCCAGGGCATCCAGATGTTGTGTGCCACCATCGAGGAGTGCTGGGACCACGACCCGGAGGCCCGTCTGACGGCGCACTGCGTCGCCGAGCGCTTCGACAACGTGGAGTTCCTGGACAAGCTGTCGGATCGCTCCGACTCCGAGGAGAAGCTCCCCGAGGAAATCATGACGGTGGACGAAAAGTAAAAAAAAAAAAAAAAGCAGACGCTCAGCGGGAACACCGCCCCCCTCAGAGCGACTGAGGCGCTACAACCAAGCCGCTCAGAAAGGAAGGACTCCCGGCAGACGCACGCTTCGCTCCGTCGCAGCAAACTGGAATATTCTGTACATTACAGCATCAGGATGAAGTCAGGAACTAACGTGGGAGACCAAATTATAATAAACACATACTGTTTGCACTTTACAAATATTTATGCACACCAAATGATATGTAATCAGTGTGTTCTGTAACGAAACATTTCAGGTTTTTCTAATGAAGAGATGTTAAACCACATGTTAAAACCAGGATGCAGAAAGAAAACAATGGAGGGAAAAGGGAAAACTCTTTTTTTTATACTAAAACTGTTGGATTTCTGTTTAAGAAACAAAAACTAAAAAAAAATAGCTGAAAGAAAAGGAAAAGCCATTATAATATTAAATATTAGGAACTATAAAATAAAAATGGTTAAATCAATATGAAAGGAGGAAAAAGATGCAATCTTGTACCAAAGTCTTATCCCACCCTGTGTTTTTAATCATTTCAGTGTTTTCTTGTGTCTTTACAAAGCTTTGAATCAAAGCTCTTCGTTTCAAAACAATATTCTCTTATTTCCAGTCCGGTTCTTGTGCCTGAACCTTTTCAAGAGGATTGTGCTTCTATAAAACGCGTATAAATTTAAAAAAAAAATACAATTTAAATGTATTTCATAGGCATTTTGTTTCCAGCACATTTCTTTTGTATTAATTTAAAAATAATGCCAAAGATTGCTTCAGTTTTTATCCAAAGCTCTTTTTATTGCACAAGTCCACTTTTGAAGATTCCAAGAAAATCTGGGTCATTAGAAGCAAAAAAAAAAAAAAAACAAGGGCTGGTTTTAAGAATTTTATATTATGCTGTATATACAATGTGTGTGTTCCTCAGATTACTGAATTTACGTGTAAAAATCTGTTCAAACCAAAGTTAAAAGGGAACAGAAATACTGTAAATAGGAAGCTAAACTGGAGCAAAAACAAACTATTCTATATTTTGTATGAGTTTTTATTTGTGTTCATGTGTTTTTACAGACAAGTGAAGTCTCAAACAGTGCTCGGAAATGATGTGTATAGGAATTTTTGTGTATAGATGTATGAATTTAAAAAATAAATGGTTTTTAATGTACTGTTTATAGTTTGAATGTGTTTTTAACAAACTATATAAACTGTAGCTGCTAGCTCCCCATGACCTGGATCGAAGATGGGTGTAGTGTTTGTAGGGATTAATCTTAAAGTGTCTATGGCCTCAAATTGTAATAAATAATGCATTTTTTGAAAGGTAACACTGATAATATATTGCAAAAAAAAATCACACCCCAGAGATGAACCGTTGTAGAGATATTTACATGTGAAGCAACAGGAAGTGATGTCTGAACGTGAACAGAACACGGGTCGACAACAAAGACTTGTTACGAACCCCTTCTTTTGAACAAGGAGCAGCAACACAGAAACCACAATAAATAGATACGAGTCACTGCAAAGATGTAAAAAAGAAAAAAAAACTGTTTTATTCTGCTCCAAAAAGCAGAATAAAACAGTATATATA